TTTCTGACTCCTGAATTGGACTTCATTTTTCCGCATGTAAGCAAGTAAGTAATTATCACTTCGCTGTTAATTTTGGATTCTATTTTGGCTAAATTCGATATTTTCTGTAACCCACGTTCTTACTCTTTCAGTTACACAAAAAATTTCAGAAGTGTATACTATCCGCCAAGTCAGCAAATATTGTTCAAAGTTCATATATGATAGAGATATTTGCACTCTGTGTAGTACATGAGCCGAAGTGGTGCTTTATATGCAGTACAAAATTCCTGAATATACGGCAGAACTACATGAGAACATTTGTATAATAATGTATGCATACGGAATTTCCCGTGCATTCTCTACATTTTTCTGTCCGATACGAATTTAGTACCTTCCAACATATAGGAAAGACAACCAGTCCAATTTCGCTAAATCGAAAAAAACCGGTCAATATATGCCGAAAGTGGACAATGTGAGTGCCTTAACTTCCCGGTCCGATGTACACCATCATTGCTTTATCAGTCTACCAGAGTATTTCCAGACTGGCCAGTACAGTGTACAGCAGCATATCCACCAGTCCCGGCCTCTCTCGAATTTTCGTGTGGTGGTGAATTCCGCCGCACGCTCTCGTGCAGCAGTTCAAAAAAAACAACGGGAACCTACTTCTCGGGAAGGAAGTCACCCGCGAACACGAACCACTGATGATTACTGCAGGTTTAGCAGTCAAAAAAAGCTGGGGAGCTACGGCGATCAAGAGCCATCCCACATCTGATGACAAACTAGTTACCGAGGCTTTATCTTTAAAATAAAGAATGCAAACTGTTTTCGGTGGATTATATTGCCACTGCAGTACAATGCTCTATTTTCTCAGATCACCTAGTAACTTTACAACATAAAATTCAGTGGTGGCATTTGCTAACCTTGCTTGAACATTAGTGTAGTTGTAGCGTCACCCTGTCCTTCGTCAGATCGGGTTGGTATTTTGTTGCGGCAAGAATGAGAGATAACAGATGGACAAAGCAGATTACTGAGTGGTACACAGACACTCAGAACACAGGGACAAAGCATATTACTGTGTCAAAAGAACACGGGAAAATCCACTTGGATGCCTATATGGAATTATGTGGATGAGAGATGCCCAAAACAGAGAAGAATGGTGAAATTGCCAGCTTTAACAATGGCAAGAAAACGCGTTGATTAGACGATAATTTCACTGTTTACTAGTAGGTATTTGTGGCGCTTCTGTGCACAGCTGACTAATACAGGAGTGAGTAGTGTGAGCTGAGATGATTGGTTGCGAAACATGCACCAACAGGAGCAGAAGCAAAATCACTATTTATTACAAATTGTAGAACCTAAAATGAGTAAGCTCTAACAAAATTGACTTAAATTTCAGTTTCGAAAATTATTCTTCTTCGTTTTCGTCCTCGTCACCGTTCTTCTTTTTGCCTTTCTCGTCCTCACCCTCCTTCTTTACTTTTTTCTGTTTTTCACCCCCGCCTTTCCCTCCCTCTTCTTCCTCTCCCTCCTCCTCCTCCTCCTCCTCTTTGGCCTTTGCTTTTTTCGCTGGTTTTTCCTCCTTTTTCAGTTTGGCATCCTTCTTTGGCTTCTCTTCCTCCTCTTCCTCTTCCTCCTCCTCCTCTTCCTCCTCCTCTTTCTCCTCCGCTTTGGCTTTCTTTGGCTTTGCTTTTTCCTCCTCCTCCTCCTTCTCCTCCACTTTGGCTTTCTTCTTTGGCTTTGGTTCTTCCTCCTCCTCTTCCTTCTCCTCAACTTTAGCTTTCTTCTTCGGCTTTGGTTCCTCCTCCTCCTCTTTTTCCTCCGCTTTGGCTTTCTTCTTCGGTTTCGGTTCCTCCTCCCCACCCTCCTCTTCCTCCTCTCTCTTCTTCGGCTTCGCTTTTCCTTTCTTTGGCGCCTCTTCCTTCTTCTCAGGCTTTTCTTCCTCTTTTCCTTCTAAACAAAGTGTCATTAAACAGGAAGATTATGCACCCTGAGATTGGTCTGTGCTACTTCGACAGTCCAACGAAAAGAAAAATCCTGCAAGTTAAAAAAAAAAACTTTCGGCAATTTGACGGTATTGTGATGAGGCCCAGCGTGAAGGAATATCCCCCAACGGCGGCAATAGCAAGCAATGAAGGAAAAAGAGGTTTTCTAGGAGTCGTGCTACATAATACCTCCGTTATTAGTCTGGAATTGCAGTTTCTGTAACAGTAGTTGTGGCAGAAAACAAATTACTAATGGCCTACTCCTCCTCCTGTTCTTCCTTCTGTTGCTAAATCTCTCCTCATAGGCCTCCCCCACCCCTTATTCTTTCCTTTGCAATTTTAAGAATTTTTTAGAGACAATGAATGTGCATACCGGCCGGCTTTTCCTTGGGGCTTTCACGCTTTCCTGCGCGTACTTTTGGCTCCTTTGACGGCTTCGCTTCTTTCGCCGCACCTTTGGCGGCAATTCTGACCTGCCGCCGAGTTGCGCCGATACTCGCCTAGAAAAAAAATCGTATTCTCTTGCATGTGAAAACAGATTTCAATGAATATAGAGGAATCAAGCCAAGAGAGAGGGGTGAAGAAATCACCTCAGATTTCTTACTCTCCTTCCACGATTTCCATGTTTTCATTGGATTGCTGCATTTTTCTGGCGCCGGTGCCATTACAACTGTGAAGTGATCATTTTGCTTCAGTTTCTTATTGTTGTCCCATTTCTTCAATGTTAGCATGACCTTCTTCTACAATTTCAGCTTGAATAAGTAATGGCACGCATCAGATAACCGGCACAATTGCACAGTTCTCCTTAGCAAAGCTAGAAAGATGTCCCTGCATAAACTTTCATGTATTCGCACATAAAACACAGGCGTGCAAAAGCTAAATTTAAACTTTTAGAGCCTGGAAACGCCTTCCTAAAATCTCAGCTTTCTATTTTGTCTGGTCCTGAGTTAGAAAAATCACCGTCGAAACTTTTGCGTGGCTGTATATGAAAAGTGGGTGTATGTGGAAACTGATCTCAAATTTTAAGGGCCGTATGCTAACAATATTCTAGCGTTCTGTCTTTCCAGGTTTCTGAGTCAGCAAATTTCCCGCTAAAAATTTGTTAAAGTGTCTGTGTATGAGATCTAGGCGTACGTGAATGTTGAATTTAAATTTGCGGAATCGCACACGAGGAAAAATATCTTCCTGAAGTTTCGGGACTCTGTTTTTCTGGGTTTTTTGGGCTTTTGATTTTACTTTGAACAGTAGTTAACGCTGCCACACATATACAAGTACGCTCCGTTAATGAATTAGTCAAAGGGCTGCTACGAAATCAGCCGAGAACATAAATTTAGATCTAAGTGTCTGTCATTTAGCCAGCACATCGAAGGCTTCCGCCGGGTCAGGCTAAAATAAAAAGCGGACGC